CACTCTCTCTCAGCCCTAGGAAGGAGGCAATGGCAAACCACTTCTGAAATCTTGCCAAGAAAACTGCAGAGATATGTCCAGGCAGTTGCTAGGAGTCAACAATGAGTGGAAGGCACCAAAAAGGAAATGGGGCCGTTGCCCAATTTAACACCATATAGCTGAGCCAGGGCTTTGTTTTCCCTGGGAAGGTGTGTGTTAGGGGCTTTTAACTTGGCCCAAGAATTTTCCTGCATTCCCATTCTTGTGGCCTTTTGAAGACTTGTTAAGATCTGGTTGTTTCAAAAAGCCTCAGGAACTTGGCTGACATTGGGGTATGGCCTTCTGAAGATTTAAGACTTGGCTGTTTCAAAAGGGTGTTTTATGGGTTGCTTTATATAAATTCTTATTTATGTATTATATATTAAATGTACTGTTTTTATTAGTGTTGCACTGGTAAATGGTTACTGTTGCTCCTATTTATATCATTTACAGTCATTCAAATCTAAGTAGTACAGTACATATATAAATATTACAAATAAATTGAAAAATAAGATTTAAAATTCCATAACAATTTCCTGCTGAGGAAAAACTTTCAGAATTTTCCAGCATAACCAACACCTCTGGAAGTCCAAGCTGCTCTGGACACATGTATTGAGAAGGAGCCTATGAGTAATACAGAAATAAATTTTGCTCATCAGATTGCTCACATCTATACCAAGATAGACTCCACATTGAGAGTCAATTCTGTGGAGAATATTGAGGCTGGCATCCATCCAATTTTAATGGATGAGTTTCTATTTGTTCAGTCACATGCTTTTAGACCTGTAATTATCTTAGTTTATAATAGGTGCCAGAGGCAAATTGGTTGATTAAATTGCAGAGATTATAATCCATTCTTTGAAGGAGGATTATATTTCACTTCCACTAAAGGAAGCAGTTATAAATTCTTTATTTTAAAATCTTTCACTGTCTCCTGATGACTAGACAATTACTGAACCACTTATTTGTTTATTTATTTATGGCCCACCTTTCTATTGAAATGAATAATCAAGATGGCTTCCAATCCCCTTTTCCTGAGGTAGGTTCTTGAATGACAGTGGCATCACTTCAGATTTATTGGGTGAAGCTGATTACTTGAATCCTTATCAGTCTAAGTTTATATTGATTATTTGTCAGTTTTGGCTTTCTTTGTAGATGATCTACCTTGAGAATTAGACAGATGCCTTTCAAATGCATTTATAACATCAACCAGATTCTTATCTAGGATGTTTAACTTAGATGGAGGCAACATTTTATGCTGGTTGCAGTCACATTTCAAAGCATGTTTCCAGAATAGGGTTGCTGGGTATAAATTACTCAGCTCCATCTCTTCTAGTCCATATGGGTTCATCTGAGTTTTATGTTCTCCCCTCTACATAGACACAACAAAGAAGCTCATCCACAATTTTTGGGTTGAGTCATATCATTATACTCATGGCATTAGCTGTATGTCTACATTCAAGAGATACTGAAAGTCCTGAACCACTGCTGGATGCAATGTTAAAATAAATCTGAGGAAAAATTAATTGCAACTGAATTTAGACAAGACAGAGGTCCTATTGATCAGCAGACAAGATAACTTGTAATGGTGAATACAATCTCATCTGGATAGGATAGCAATCTCACTGAAGAACCAGGTATATAGCCTGGGGTGAGGGAATGGTACTATTAAACCTGGGATTGCTCTTTGAAGACCAGATGATGGGGGGGGGGGTTTCTTCATCTTTCTTTTTATGCCAAAAATTTTCCTTTTTAGGGAAAAAAGTCT